AGCTGTTACATTTTACTAGACAATTGACTGGTCCTGTCATTAGTATTTTATTTTACTGTTGACTTAATCTGGTGTTTAATCCACAAACATTGGCCATGAAAGTCAAGCTTGCAAGAGGTAATATTAAAGAGAGTAGAGTAGCATAACAATTGCGTTCGATACCAGGGACCTGCAGTAGTGGTCCAGACGTGAATTCACATCCGACCATTGCAACTAGGAGTTTTCTGACAAAAGGTTCAGAGTTCAACAAGTCCTGCTGTGAATCCTGTAGATAGTACACACTACTGCCGCTGTGCCCTGCTGTATGGAGGTTGTAAAGATTTGGATGGTAGATTGGGGTGCCAATCAGTGGATTTCTTTGTCCTGGACAGTGTCAAATTTCTTTACTGTTGTTGGTCATCCACTCATCCAAGATATTCTGGACCAGGAGATAATGATTGAATGCAATTCCATCTCTGTGCCTCATGATAGCTAGTTTTGAGCTTCTACATCTGTTGTGAATCCATCCAGTTTAACACTTTAGTCATGCCTCACATCATGCTGTATAAAGGCAGGACTAGGTCTCCACAAGGGCTAACAGGTTTATATGAAGACACAAGCTTTCAGAGTCTCGCTCCTTCTTCAGATGTCAGTGAGAGGTGGCATCAGACACAGAATTTATAAGCAAAATTTATAAGAAAAAAGGGTCATAGAACTAATGCAAATGTGTTGAACGAACTTAAGATGATTGTTAAATCTTTAATCTGTTAGAAAGGATTTATTTGCAAATTCAAGAATTTCTTTCAAGTCACTGCCTTGAGATAACTAAAGGTTTTATCAGTTCCCTCAGTACACCAGAGGTGACATCGCAGGTCAGACAATGCATTTTTAGGTGTGAGGCCTTGTTTAGAATCTGTCTGTGTTTTAACTTGGAGTCAGACTGGTTTTATTTCCAAAGCAGGATGGTTTTATTTCCAAAGCAGGAATTTATAAAATGCCACATTGACTGTCTACAAATTGTGTGTTTTTTGAACAAGATAGAATATATCTGCAATTACAAATCTGCAAATGCAAATTTCATTCATAACTACTGGTTTCTCTTTCTAATCTGGATAACACTTTCTATCTGTCAACTAGGAAGGAGTGGGCATTACAGATACAGCCCATAAAAAAAAAAGACATTTCACTACAGGAAACACATCTTTGAGACTGAATCCAGACATTAAAAACATCACTCATTGTGGAGAGTTTGATCTCTGGGTTCAAATGATTCAAAATGTTGTTACTCAAGGGAAAATTGACTTTTTAAAAAATTGACTAATATTGAAGATATGAGCTTAAATTAATAACTGATCAAATTGTATATTTCCAGTTAGTCATAGTTGGGTACTTGTTCCCTGGCCTGCATCCACTCTATTGACGACTGTGGTAAAATCTGTGTAGAGAACAAACCCAGTTTTAATTCTCTAAAGTAAAGTGGAGGAGAAGCTGAATGAGTCTGGCAGCACCGATTATAGAGGCTGAGAACCAGTGAGTGAGAGAACATGAATAATTCAAAAGGTGATCAAATAGTGAAACCTCCAAGACTACATGCAGAATAGAGAATACTGTTCAGGGTGGTACCACTGAACTAAAGCAGATAATTGTTATGCCAAGATGGTGACATAGTAGGATGGTCTGGTCGGAGCTCATCTGCTCCCTATTCCCCTTGCCCCCTTTTTTCTCTTAGTAGCTTGTCTTTTCTTCACCCACCTCCCCTCCCCTCAACCTGGAGAGTGGAGTCGAAAAGCAGAGCAAGCACGGGCCAAGTCCATTTCACCAGAAACACATCCTCTATCACCTCCATTTCCTCATTTGCTGCAGTGTTCCAGCGAAGCTCCACACAAGCTGGAAGAACAACATCTCAATTTCCACTTGGGGACCCTGCAGCCCTCCAGACTGTATAGAGTTCAATAATTTTAGGGCCTGAACTCTCCCATGCCCTAGCCCCCTACCCCGCACACCAGTCCTTGTTATCACATAGTGACTAACTGGTGTGTAATGGTAGGCTAACTGTCCCCATTAACAACTTCACCCTCCTAGCCAGATTGTCTATCCAACTTCTTCTCTCTTTGGGCTCTATCCTATCGTTTACTCCCTACCCTATCCCCCTCCCTATTTTCTGCAATATAAACCGATTTCCCAGCTACCATCATTTCTGAGGACGGGTCACCAGATCTGAAATGTTAACTCTGATTTTTTTTTCCTTCAGATGCTGCCTGCTGAGCTTCCAGCAACTTCTGTTTTTTTGTTCTCCATCACCTTATCCACTGGTGTTGCACTTTCATGGGAAGTATGGACTTGGACCCCAAAATTCCTCTGTATGCCAATGCTTGAAGGGTCCTGCCATGCTTCCCTCTTGTACTTGATCAAAAACGCATCACCTCACTTGTCCAGATTAAACTCCATTGCCATTTCTCTGCTCAGCTTTCCGACTGATCTATATCCAGCTCTATCATTTGACAATCTTCCTCACTATCCACAACTCCAACAATGTTCATGTCATCTGCAAAGTTACTAAACCAGACCACTTTACATTTTCATCCAAATCATCCAGAAAAGGTCCCAGTACTGATCCTTGCAGAATACCACTGGTCACAGACCTGCAGCCAGAAAAACATCCCTCCTCAACTACCCTCTGTTTTCTATGACCAGGCCAATTTTTTTTAAAATCCAATTTAACAATTCACCATGGATCCTATGTGACAATCTTCTGGACCAGCCTACCAGGAGGGTCATTGGTAAAGTATTTGACAAAGTCCATGTAGACAACATCCACTGCCTTACCCTCAATCATCTTCGTTATATCCTCAATTCACAAATGTTTAGTTTTTTTTAAGACATCCTCCGCACAAAGCTATGCTGACTATCCCTAGTAAGTCCATTCTTCTCCAAATGTGAGTAAATCCTGTGCTTAAGAATCTTCTCTAATAATTTCCCTACCGCTGATGTACGGCTCACTGGCCTATAACTTTCTGGATTATCTCAGTTGCCTTTGATAAATAACGGAACATCAGCTGTTCTCCAGTCTTCCTAAGTGCCCTCCAAGATGCCCTCTTTTAGTACAGTAATTCTTCTTAATCAGTAGTGCAAATCCCCCACCCCTTTTATATCCCTCTGTCTCACCCGAAATATCAAAAGCACTGAATGCTGAGCTGCCAGTCCTGCCCTCTCTCAATCTGTAATGGCTACATCGTAGTTCCTGTTATACTTATTGCATTAAAATAAATACACTTCAAACTGCTAGTCCTGCTGTGTTCATTAAGTTGACCTTGTTCCTATTACCTACTTGACTTAACCTCTATCTTCTCATTAATCCACAATACCTACAGTCCCACATCCCTGCCAGGGTATTGGTAACCTCCCCCCTCACCCCGCTTCTCCCATCCTTTTACAGATTCCTCCTGCCCTGGAAGAGAGCCCAATGATCCATGTATCAGAAGTCCTCCCTCCTAACCAATGCCTTAACCACGCAGTCAACTGTACTGTCTTGCTATTTCTGACCTCACTAGCACACGGTACAGGGAGGAATCTTGAGATTACAGCCCTAGAGGTCCTTCCTACCCAACTCTGAACTCTTCACAGTGTCTCATCTCTCTTTCTGCCTATATGGTCAGTACCAATATGGACCACAATCTCTGGCTGCTCAGAGACCTCCTCGACCCTGGCATAAGAGAAGGCAACACACCATCCTGGAATCTTGCTTGCAGCCATAGAGGTGCCTCTGACTACAGCGTCCCCTAATACTAACACCCACCTACGCTTTGACCCTCCTTGCCAATCGAGTACCATTGATCTGACTGCTGCTGTTTGTTTGTTCAAGTTGCCAAAAGAGCAAGTTGCTAACAGCATACTTAAGAGGATAGATTATCTGGGGTATTGGGTGAACATTAGCACCAAGTCTCATCTTTAGGAACTGATCAGGGTGGGGAAGAGACAACAACTGGGTATCAGTAAAGTATGGTAGATTACACAGGAGTCAGAAAGAAACAGGAGAAAAAAAAAAATTTATAAAATAAATACTTCCAAAAACAAATTGATGACCTGCAGAAATGAAACTCTAGGTTCATTTGGTCCTGTTCCAGGCTGGAGTGGTTGAGTGACATTGCAGCAATGCCACCATTGTAGAAACATAGGCAATTTGGCCCTTCAAGTCTGCTCTGCCATTCAATGAGATCACAGCTGATGATCCCACTTTCTCCCTTTAGCCAAGAACTATATCCAACTCCTTCTCGAACCTATTTATTTCAGAAACCCCTTCCCCTCCCCCATTTCTGAAGAAGGGTCTAGGCCCGAAACGTCAGCCTTCCTGCTCCTATGATGCTGCTTGGCCTGCTGTGTTCATCCAGCTCTACATCTTGTTATCTCCTTCTCGAAAGGATTGTGTTTTGGCGTCAAGTGCTTTCTGTGTTAGAGAATTCCACAGCTGGTGCTCTGTGGTTAATGGAGAGTGGATTAAATCACCCAGTTACACAAGATGCACAATTTGTGGCCTCTGTCTGCTTCAGACTTTGAAAACTTTTGTTTTAGAAGGAGACATTAATAGCAGCAAATATTTTTATTTCTTGAAAAATTAAGGTTTAATCAAGGTTTTCAAAAACTATTCAACTTGTTACTTATTTTAGGATATGCAATGGAGAGGATAAGCAGTGCAACCTAGAATACAACAGCATTCACCAGCTTTAATGGAAATCTTTCTGATGGAGTTGGCCTGGAAAGGTCTTAAGCATGTCACTGTTGGACGGAGGCTAGCTCAAGAAACATTGAAGGGTGGAGGGGGCGAAACAGACTGAAATTGACATGTCAACTTCTTTGTAAGGGAAGGGAGGGTATTGTTGTTAGGAGCCCAACAATATTTACAGAAAGCCACAAGCACTTCAGTCTCAACCCCATAAGTCCAGGATTGTGATCCCAGGTCGAAAATGCACCTCAATGAATGCTCGCATGTCAAAGTTTAAGCCACCATAAAACAGCAGACCAAATGATGTAAAAAAATGTTTTATTATATTACAATGAAAGAATGATACAACACATTACCTTCAGTGTGCTACAGGTGGGTAGCCAGCACCATGTATGTGTGAATTTATATTATACATCTTTAGGAGCTATATAAAGCATTCTATACTGAAGGGAGCTCCTCAACAGTACATATTCACAAGTCTCTGGCACAGAACCCATCCAGTGTACCTCAAGCCATTCACAAAACCCTCCTGCCTCATCAACACCATCTCTTCCATACACCCATCAAGAATAAAGTTAATCTGTTCAACAGAAACCGCAGTTGCCAAAACTTCCAACCAACCACTAGCAAGTGCCCTGGGAGTTTTGAAGAGGGATAGAGAGATAAATTCTCTTAATTCCAACAATTCATAAAACGCAAGACACTTCCAAGTTGCTGAAGGAAAACCAATTCTTCCCACACTGTAAAAATAAAGTTCTTTTAAAAAGACATTGAAAAACATGATTGTGGAACAGTAAGAGGTTTAATACTGCAATGTTGTTCCCCTTCCTGAAAGGCCTGGTAACTATGAATGGGCTCAATTATCAGTGTAGGCCAATCTTGTACTTTAGGAAACAAGACAAGGCTAATTATCTAAATGCTTTGCAATAATCAATTGTACAAATTCAGGGAATTCAGTTTTGGGCTGTTGTAGACCTTATTTAAAACAGAAAGTCTAGATTGGCTTCCCAATCTCATGTCACCACCCACCCCTTCCCACTTTCCCAAAGATAAAAAAATTCACTTTACTGCTAAAGTTTCCTATACACTCGAGAAAAAAGCCCAGCTTCTAAGTGCAGTAGGCAGCTTGTCCGAGTGGGTCGTGTGGCTCAAGTTGGTGTCAACAAAAATCTAGGTCCAAGGCAACACCATCTTGAAACTGTGCATGATTACCATCAGTAGACAGATATGCACATTGTTTGGGGGCGGGGAGGGAGTGCAGAGGGGACAGATGCGTTAATTTCTATCAGCTTAGTACACATCACCCCAGCTGTGAACCCGATGGATAAACAGTTTTGATTCAGGCAGTTGACAGTCAATGGGAAAACGTCAGCAATGTCGGACTAGACCGGGAAACTCGCTGGGTTCACGGCTGCATTCCAACATGGAACTTCTTCCACACAGTTTGGAGGCAATCAACTTTGCACAATCAAGTTATGAGAGAGTTTATCCCCAACACCCCTCCCCAGTCACTAAGAAACTTTTGGATCAGGCAGATTAGTTCAAGCAGGCCACTTTCTCCAGAATAAGTGCAATAGCAACGCCCTGGAGGGTACACACTCTACGTCAAATCAAGGTTCATCACAGTGGTCCTCCACTACATATGGCTGGCTGGCTGGCCTACAGTGGCACCAACAAAATTCAGACAAAAATTGGGAATGGGGGACAGAAAAGAGAGAGAATGCTAATTAAAAGAGCTCACATCCTGTTCCACAGCATTGGTCTGAAAAGTGCAAAGTGAATCATTACACCCCGGGACCGTTTCTTAACCCAGTTTTCATGCCACACTCTTATAGCCATGTTTTTATGGTGTCAAACATCTGTCAAGATTAGGAACCCCCTACACTGAGCAAAGCACTCCACTACCTACTCAAGTACAAGTGTCTTTGGTTTGAGACAACAGCACTCAAGACCGAACGCAAACAGCACAGATCCTGATTACAGGTATGCAAGTCTAAACTATTCCCTCAGAGTCTGGATTTTATAGACTCAGCACCTAGAGGTACAGGCAGACAGACACACACACACACACCCGCCCACTCCTGCCCCGCAAGCACTTAAATCCCTCTAAGTCATGACGTTAAAACAGAAATGTAGTTAGAGTGCTCCAACAGGAAGAGTATAACAAAGGATACACTGGTGAGCACACCAACAGAGATAGCCTTTGATCCAAACACCTTCCCAGCCACACCAGGAACTCCACAGCAAGATAAGGCCATTCAGCCCTTTGAGCACATTCCACCATTCAATTAGGTCAGACTGATCTCTACCTCAAATCCACTTTGTCACCTTTACACTCAATCAAAATGTAACAGAAGGCTACTGATGCCAGCCTTGAAAGTTTCCACTGAAACACCACCTACAGACATTAGTTTTTCCAACTGCACCTGAGAAATGCCAGTATAGGGCCTAACGGGCCAAAAGGCCTTCAACTGTAACCAGGCTGCCCAGTCACAAAATAGGTTTTAAGCATCAAACACACCTCGACACTACTGCCAACACCACCGCTCAACATGTCTCCGAAAAACTCAACTCCGAAAGGAGACCTCACACCAGAAACTTTACCCCAAGAGAGGAAATTTACAAAGTAAATGGATTTGAAATATTATTAAAATTTTAAAATAAAAATCACAAGATGTCCCAGCTCAATATTGCACACCACCTAACTGGGTGACCCAGGAATGGACATGAGGAGTAAGTCTCTCCTCCAATGAGCAGAACAGCCCCATTCCATGCAGGAGAGGCCACTGCACCAGAAACCTAGTTGAATAATCTCACACTGCCACCTGATTGCCTCTCCACACCAACCCAAACAACCTCCGGCAGCGACCAAAGCCATTAGCCAGTTCCCACCTCTTTAGTTGTAGAGTTTTGACATGAGCCGGCCATCAAAAAGGCACAAACAGCAAACCCCAAACAGATTAATCAGATCAGGAAATCCAATTCTGCTACACAAGCACTCAAAAAGACACGTGGGTAGGATTGTATTTTTAAGAGATGCCTGAGGAAAAATGCCAGGAGGGATTGATAACACACACGTGCACACACAACCAGCAAGCTGTGACACTTGCTACATGTTAGAGTCACCTCTCATCTCCTACATGGTGGTTCTGTGCGAGAGTTTTGTTTTTAGTAAACAGCTTTCCTTTGTTTTTTTTTTGATCACAGCATTCCGTCATTCAGGAAAGGAATGGACGGACTGTACATATCACATTGGAATTTGATCCTATTAACAGTCACACATGTTTATTGATGATAAAGTAAAATCTCTATTGCTTTCATGATTCAGAAATTGGCATCCATAACAGGAAAATAAAAGACAACCTTCAAATTAAAACTGCTGGAAATTCTGCAGTCTGTCAATCAAATACCACGTTCAATAGTCATCCCTTGTAATGAGGCATTTAAGAGTGTGATTTTCTTTTATTACAGGAACCAGCAATAACCATAGGATACAATATACTCCTACTTTTATTAAAAGATTCTTTTTTTTTTAAAAATTCAGCTGCCATGTTCTAACCTTTGACCTGCCCCCACCAGGAGATCAGGGCTTGTGTGAGGTTGGAGAGGGGGCAGGGAGCAGGTTCACGGAGCAAGGTCACGTGAGCTGCAATCTCTAGATTACCCGGTCGGCAGCAAGTTTGGAAGCAGCCGCTTCCAAGAGTGCAAACAAGGACAAAGAGCTGCCATGAAGTTCTCACTGTCGTCTCCACAAGGGACAGATGCAAATGCCAGCTATCGGAGAGCCACAGGGGTCTCTGAGGAATACCAAGGCACAGAATGACAATGGCAGAAAGTCCGAGACGCTGATCTAGGTCCTGTACCATTTTAGTCCCATGCCACCACCCCACAAGCCCTCCCCTCTCTACCCGAGAAGCATGGTTTGGATAACATTTAGGAAAATATAATACAAAATTTTGATACAGCAAATTTTGAGACTATACTGGCTAAAATTACTCGATTATTACTTTTGCGATTTTTTTCAGTCCTTTTTTTTCTTAAAACCCTCTCTAGATGAGAAAGGCATCTTGAGAGATGTGTACGTAAATGGTTGATCAGTTTGTCTAGAAGCCATGCTCTAATGACTAAAACCAAGCAGACAGGGAAAGCAGACACTTTTAGTATCACTAACATTTCAGTAGAAGCAGTCTAAAACGACACAGATAATGAAACTGCTACAAGCCCGGTGTATAATCACTGAACAAAGCAGAAGCAAAATCCTAACTTTTTTGCTTGATACACCTACTGCTGCAGTTTCTTTTTCAAAAACAAAGTCCTGTATTAACACGATAACTCTTTATGAGCAAGGAGACAATAAATGCACTGTGTTCAGCCTCCATAGGAATACTGTCTAGTTACTAGTTTCTCCAAAATCAAAAAAAAGCATACGTTCTGCACCGGGAAGGCAGACAGCTGCTAGACGATAGGAGAGACGCAGGTGAATGCTCCTCTAACAGCAGAGCTGCAAAAGTGGAAAACCAGCTCTGGATAACACACCAGCAAAATGAACTTGGGTCAATGCTAGCCACGCCACATCCCTCCTCATTCTTACCATGGGAGACCGGAAGCAGGCGGCAAAATAAAAATCAAATTGTAAAAAAAAACAGGAGAAAAGCAATACTCTACTTTCAAGGTTAATCATTAGAGCTGGCTTTTTTCCTCCCCCCACCCCACCCCATCCTCGCAGTCTACTTTCCCCTTCACCTTCCCGCCCACTTTACTGCAAAAACCACCCTGCACTTCTTCGCAACCCTCGTGTCAAGAGTCAAATCGCTGCATTGGAATGGATGAGCCGGGCTCTCAAAGAACTGCAGGAGGGTGACAGCAAATGCAAGTGCTGTTGTGGTTGCGGGTGTCTGTGAAAGAGTGGCAGTCAACATCCCAGGAGGAAAAAAAAAGTTTTTTTTTTATAGATATATATAGATATATATATATATAATAAGTGCCCTGCGTTGACGATGTGGTCCTCTGCTGGTAACCGAAGTGGTCACTATGACAGCCTTGGGGTGATTGTGCGAGAGTCTGCGTATCCACTGTCACTTGAACTGCTCCGAAAACTGTAGTGGTCATCAACATCACTGGCACTGCCAACACTGTCCAGCTCACCAGGAATAAACTCCATACCTTCGATGTCAACGTCGGCTTCTGTGTAAAAGCACAGGGGAAAAATCAAACTAGTGTCTAAAACTTTATTAATGAAGAAACGTTGACCGGCCGTTATGTTTCTTTCCCCCCCACCCCCCACCCACCACAATCCATTCACAGGATGTGGGCACCACTGACTAGGCTTGCTCAGCCCTAATTACCCAGAAGGCAGTCAAGAGTCAGCCACATTGCTGCGAGTCTGGAGTCACATGTAGACCAGACCAGGTAGGGATGGCAGATTTTTTTCCCTAAAGGGCGTTAGTGAACCAGATGGGTTCCATTGTCATCATTATACTCTTAATTCCAGATTTTTAAAAATCGAGCTCAGATTCCACCATTTGCCACGGCAGGATTCTAACCTAGGTCCCCAGAACGGTAGATCTGGATTAGTAGTCCAGGAACAAAACCACAAAGGCCGTCACCTCTCCTGTAGATATCAATTTTCATGACCCACCAAACCAAGAGTGCTTGGCAACCAATGAAGTACTTTATGAAGAGCCGTAACTCTTGTAATGTAGAGAATGTGGGAGCCGATTTGTACGCAGCAAGTTCCAACAAACAGCAATGGGGAACAGATGATGATTTCCAGCATTTGCAGTTCTTTGGATTTTTTTTTTGCCTTTTGGGTTGCGGTTCATACACGAGCTTGAGCCTTACTTGGCTATTTCAGAGGGCAGTTTATAGTCAGACCAGTTAAGGAAGACAGATTACAGACATCACATCAGTGAACCAGGTTGTTACATCACAGTAATGGTGACCATGAAACTTGTTTTCAGTTTCAAATGTATTCACTGAATTCAAATTCCAGTGGTTGCTGTTGGAGGAATGTGAACCGGGGTTTCCACGGCCTCTGCATTACTAGCCCAGAGACTTTGCCACTACTCCACAGCCTCCCATGCTTTTGATTTAGGAGTGAATATTGCTTAGCACACCACTGCAGACCGTTTTAAACGTCAGGTTTGCAAAATGGCCCTTCTGACAAAGCAGTGTTCCCTCAGTACTGCGTTGTTCTGCAGTGGGACCCGAAGTCATGCCCTCATGATTCATATTTGCGCACTACCCCGACGTTGTAGCTGATGCTATGACAACATATGGGATCGATTCCCAATGTAGCAGCTAGTTGATGTACCAAAATTTTTTTTTAAAAAGTTGGCAGACATGGGAGAAGTAGGCCATTATAGTCCATCTGCCCCATCTCACTGCAAACTGCTTCTGTCATCCTCACCACTTGTTTCCACAAGTTCTTTTGAGTCATCCCCAAGCTTGACGAAAAGTACTTCACTTTCCTCGTCCAACTTGTTAATATAAATAATTGCAGCCCCAGAGCTGATCCCTGAGGCACCCCACCAATACATCTTTCTTTGGATAAGGGGCCAAAACTGTTCACAGCATTCTAGTTATGGTCTGACTGGTGCCTTATATAGATCTGATGTGGAGGTGCTGGTGTTGGACTGGGGTGGACAAGGTCAGAAGTCACATGGCATCAGGTTATAGTCCAACAGGGTTTAATTAAAATCACAAGCTTTCAGAGCACTGCTCCTCCATCAAGTCACTTCACCTGACGTTTTGACTAGGTCACCACATGGAGATACTAGGTCAGGTGATCAGGGTTTATAGAGATCTTAAAGTTGGTTTGTTGGGTGGGAGGGAGGTGCAGTGGTACCAGACAGCAGGAGGTAGAGGGCTGTGAAAGGCACAGGGACAGGAGGGCATTCTAAAGATCGGGGCATGGCCAGGACTGACTGAACACAGGGACACGGGTAGCAGAGTGCGGTTTAGAGCCAGAGCTCGCTGACATTCTGGCCCTCAGGTGGGCAGATAGCCTTACCTTGTTCAGAATCGGAGCGGTCAGTGGAGATAGCTGACCCCAGACTGTCAGTACGGAGACGCTCCATTCCCTGGACGGCCAGCTGCTCCAGCCGACGTCTCAGGTACCGCCGCTCACGCTGCAGCTGCTCCTTCTGGTGAAGTGCCTTCTTGTCTTGCTCCTCTAACTTCTGCAGACAAGGCAGGGGGGAGAACGAAAGAAAACAGACTTGCATTTACATAGCACCTTTTGGTGACCCTGGAGCTCCCAAAGGCTCGATCTAGTCACTGTCACAAAGTAGGAAAGCAAATCGGAGAAGGACAATTGAGAGATAAACACTGGCCCAGGGCACAACCAAAAACTTCGTTCTTAGTAACGGTCTCACTAAGTGTCATGGCCTGACTTTAAACTCCTTTGACAGTACAGTAATGTCTTGTCAGCCTGGATTTTGTAAGACCACAACACATCAGAGCAGGAGCAGGCCATTCACACCATTGATTTTATGACAAGAACATGACTCACAGTCATACAGCACAGAAACAGACCCTTTGGTCCAAATCATCCATGTGGAACAGATATCCTAAGTGATCTAGTTCCAATGCCAGCATTTGGCCCATATCCCTCTAAACCCTTCCTCTATTCACATACCCATCCAGATGCCTTTTAAATGTTGGAAATGTACCCGACTCCTCCACTTCCTCTGGCAGCCCATTCATACATCTTCTGCGTGAAAAAGTTATCCCCTTAGGTCCCTTTTAAATCTGTCCCCTCTAGTTTTGGACTCCCCCACCCTGGGGATGGGACACTGGCTCTTAACCCTATCCATGCCCCTCATCATTTTCATAAGCCTCTAAGCTCACCCCTCAGCCTCCGAAGCTCAGAGGAAAATAGCACCAGCCTTATTCAGCTGTTCCCTACAATTCAAACCCTCCAACCTTGGCAATATCCTTGCATATCTTTTCTGAACCCATTTGAGTCTCACAACATCTTTCCTACAGCAGGGAGACCAGAATTGCACGTATTCCAAAAGTAGCCTAACCAATGTTTGTACATCCACAACATGACCTCCCAACTCCTGTACTCAATGCACTGACCAGTAAAGGTAAGCATATCAAATGCCTTCATTACCCAGTCTACCTGTGACTCCACTTTCAAGGAATGATGCACCTGCACTCCAAAGTCTCTTCCTGGAGTAGGACCTGAACCCACAGCCTTCTACTTCATTCCAAAACAGGAGTGCTACCCAGTGAGCCTCACCAGGCACACCTCAAGAAACCTGCCATTTTTCATTCTTTGATGGGATGTTGGCATTGCCAGCAAAGGCACATTCCAGAGGGCAGTTAGGAGCCCAGCACATTACTGTGGAGTCACACGTAGGCCAAACCAGGTAAAGATGGCAGTCTTCCTTCCCTAAAGGGGATTGGTGAACCAGATGGGTTTTTACAACAAATCAACAGTGGTCGCTGTGAGGCCATTTTTATTTTAAAAAGTGAATTCAAATTTCACCGCCTGGCACGATGAGATTCGAACCCAAGCCCCCAGACCATTAACTTGGGGTTCTGGATTACTAGTCCAGTGACATCACAACCTCGTTCACCCCTCATACTTTTCTTTGGCTTGGCTCTTCGAAAGAACTGCCCAATGAGACAGATTCCACTCCTCTGTATTCAGAGCGTCACAATACTTTCCCTGTCAAGCGTGAATCACATCCCCCCGACAAAGTTACTATCAAACCCATCACCACCACTCTTTCTGGCAGAACATTCTGCAATCACATGCTGCCACCTTAAAATAAAACCCTCACCTCCCTTTGGGTTCTTTCGCTAGTGATCCAATTAAAAAAAAAACTGAACGAGACAAGTGTGCTGCATTGTTGACGATGCACATGATGGAAACGAGAGCAAACCCAGAGCAATCATTCGTTTACCTTGATGTGAGTCCGCGCTCGCTTCAATAGGCTCAGAGTGGTGTGTCTTGAACAATCTGGCCCTAGAGGTACCAGCTCTTTCAGCTGCTCCAGGTATAACCTCAGCTTAGCTCTCCTGCAATTGAAAACACCACCAGATTGTGAACGAGTTGAAGCCAGCATGTGCAAGGGAACAACGCAAATTCTGGTCAACGCCAGCCCTCCCCACCCATCCCAACACAGGGGGATTAAAGGGTCCTGGGGTACCCTGTACAGTTTCAGTCCCCTTGAGGGATATAGTTGCACTGGAGGCAGTTTACAGGAGGTTCACTAGATCTATTCCAGAGTGTGTTGTCTTACTGAGCCATCACAATAGTCATTCTGACGGGGGCAGGGTGGGGGGGAAGCGGTGGTGACAATGACCCTGGATCAGTAATCCAGAAGCCCAGGCTAATGTTCTGCAGAACAGAATCAAAGTTGCTGGAAAAGCTCAGCAGGTCTAGCAACATCTGTGAAGGAAAAAACAGTGTTAACATTTCGGGTCTAGTGACCCTTCCTCAGAACCAGTTCTGAGGAAGGGTCACTGGACCCGAAATGTTAACTCTTTTTTTCCTTCACAGAAGCTGCCAGACCTGCTGAGCTTTTCCAGCAACTTTGATTTTGTTCCTGGTTTCCAGCATCCACAGTTCTTTTGGTTTTTAACCTTCTGTGGACAGAGGTTTGAATCTTATAGTGGCAGAACTCAATACAACAATCTAACACAATCACACAGCCACTGTTGAATGATGTAAAAACCCAATGGATTCACTAAGCCCTTAAAGGGAAGGAAATCTACTGTCCTTACCCAGTGTGGCTGACATGTAACTGCAGATCCCCAGCTATGTGGCTGACTTAACTCGCCCTGTGGATAATTAGGAATCAGCAATGCCCACTTCCAATGAATTAACTGAAACAGGCCTTTCAGTGACCCCACCCACGCCCGACCCTTCAGCAAGGTCATGGCTTATATGTATCACTGCTCCACTAGGGTATGATGTCAGGGTGAAAACAGCAAACCAGCACCCCACCCCCACTCCCCTCCCCTCGTGTACAGCCACCTTACGGACTCCCCCACCCTCGTTTGTGAGGGAATGCCGATGAATGAACGAAATTAAAGAGCTAACACACCCGAGCACTGACCAGCTCAACAACAAATAACATTTTCCAAAAGGAAGTTAAAACGAGGATGAACCAGGAGTGACGCCCTAACCCCAAAAGGCCGCTGCATCAACTCATGGCTGGTGCTACAGTTGGCCTAGGACAGGAAGGAGGAGGAGGAAATCAGCAGGCGCATCTAATCACAGACCAGAAAGCCCTGACCCAAAAGGACCAAATTCAGCATTAACGCCTCCTGTTTCCCAAAACAAATGGGATTGCTGCTGTTCAGAGGGTTGCACTCTACTTTGGAGGCAACTTGCAATGCACAGTGGTATATGAAGAATGAGGTACTCAAAATGAAAGCCTCCCAGAGTTGCCCCTGGCACAAGGCGGAGGTTATGGATAACGGGAGATTGCAAGAAGGGTTTGCTGATATTCACAAGTGGCTCCGTGCTGATGAAAGGGCACAGACTGGAAACTTTGACTCTTTGTCTCTGTCTTCCGGTAGACCTACTGAGTATTTTCTGTGCATTTTGCTTCCTTGTTCCTGCTCCAACGAGGCAACACCACAAGGAGTGGGACAGTGTATAACCGCACGGTCCTCAGGCACACACACACAAACACAGCAATGGAGAGGCAGGATAACCATCCGAGAGTGACTCAGACATGACATTTCAACTGAAAATCGAAAACAGGTAAACACAAGGAGTCAGGCAGAAGCTCACCTCCTGTGTGGGGCCTAAAAAGAATACGAGTTACAAAAGAGAACCATGAGGAGGAGGAGGAAGACAAAGATCACATTTATATCTGAAAACCCACAACTTGCACTGTGAACTTTCACAACCAAGGACTGCTCAGAATCCTGTTTTGAATCAAACAGAGGAATTTCCTTTTTGAAACAAAATAATGTAGTTGTAGAAGATAATAAATGGTGCAATTTTATACGGCACCTCCCCCACTCTCAGCAATATCCTTTATGCTCCACCTACAACATACTATTTCAAAACAGTCACTGTTACATTATTAGCACATACAGTGTGCAGCAAGATCCCCAAAAAAAAAACACGAAAAAGCAGTTAACAGGCTGCTTATGTGATACGAGAGGAAGGAGGAACATTGGTCAGAAAACTGACAGCTCTCCCCTGCTCCTCTTCAAATACTGGCCACTGGATCTGTAATATCTTCATTTCACAGACAGGACGCTAGATTCACCTGTTACCTGAAAGATGTAACTAGAGTTACAAAAGGCAAGCGAGTGAGATTGGGAGGGGAGAGGGAGAGAGAGAGAGGGGAGAGGGAGAGAGAGAGAGAGGGGAGGAAAGGGAGAGAGAGAGAGAGGGGAGGAAAGAGAGAGAGAGAGAGAAAGAAAATGACGTCCACTTAAAATGTGTTCTTTTAAAAAAAAAGCCAATTTCATGGGATGTTGGCATCACTGGTTAGGCCTGGATTTATTGCCCATCCCTACTTACCCTTGAGAATGAGGTAATGAGCTGCCTTCTTGAACTGCTGCAGTCCATGGGCAGCATTGGAGGTTCAGTGTTAGCATTGCTGCCTCACAGCTCCAGATACCGAGGTTGGATTCCACCCTTGGGCAACTGTCTTTGCGTGTTCTCCCTATGTCTGTGGTGATTTCCTTCCAGGTGCTCCAGTTTCCTCCCACAGTCCAAGGATCAATAGGTTAGGTGGATTGGCCATGCTAAATTGCCCATATAGTGTCCAGGGATGTGCAGGCTGGGTGCATTAGCCATGGGAAATGCAGGGTTACAGGGTTAGAGTAGGGACAGAGGTCTGGGTGGGATGCTCTGTAGAGGATCAGTGTGAACTTGATGAGCTAATTGGCATGTTTCCACAGTGTAGGGATTCTATGGAAATGCGATGAAGGGACATTTGCAATGTGGTTAGGGAAGAACGTCCTGGATTTTTGACTCAGCGATACACTCCCTAAGAGCATTGTGGATCAACTTACAACACATGGACTGCTGCGGTTCAAGAAGGCAACTCACCACCAACTTCTCAAGGGCAAGTAGGATCAGGCAATCCCATATGTTTGTTTTGATACACAGTGACCCCTAACTTCCAGATTCTCCCCCCACAGACAAACATCCTCAGGATCGCTCTGGTTTTAATGAAGTCACCTTCTCGCATTCTGATAATAGACTGATCACAGCATGGTCAATTTAGTTACAGTTTAATCAATTAATTTCAATCAGTCAACAACAGACCCACACACGAAGAGGGTCCCGATCCAAAGTCAGCTGCTCCTCCTAAACACAGTACACTCACTCATCACATCGTTGATTCATACAATTACGGACACATTAACTCCTCGCTCCCTCCCCGTCCCTGGCCAGCTTGTTCCATAGTCTGGCTTCTCACTCACAAAAGTCCCACATCGACAGATCTGGAGAAGGTGCAAGAAAATTATCAAATTCTTTTCGCAGTGAGCACACAGGCCACTACCACCACACACCCACGCGCCCCCCCAAACAAGGTGGGGGTGTCACCTGAAACAAATACCACGTCACCTCCACACACTAGAATTGGCTTGGGTCTCCACAGCATCGAGAGGCTGGAGGTTATGGCTGGGGTTTAATAAGCAGGGGCGGTGGGACTTAGACAAATCTCAGTTATAACTCACAAAAGTTAATGGGAGAAAAGAAAGAAACTGTTGTTTGAAAAATCATGACTAACCTCTTGAACATAGTGTCATGACAAAGAGCCGCACCCCCAACATGATTTTTGTTTTTTTAAAGGGGAGGGGATGCTGCAGTTTAAATCTGTTACAAACAACTACTCCCCAATGTGTCCTGAATCCTGTCTCTCCACACTCACCTGTGCTTTTCCAGTTCATTGTGTGAGGACCTGTAATAAGCAATAAACATGGATTAACAATTGAACATCCTCACTGTAAAAACTCTCTTTTTAAATGCTGCAGTTTACTGTGCTTCAATAGTAACTTCCTTAAAAGAAAAGGAAATTTAATAAAACACAAGATGAGGGGGAAATCTTTACAAAGCCAGGGGTAGGATGCGACTAACTGACAGTAATGGGCCGAATGGATTCCTGGACTTTAACTCCAGGGATGCTTTGCTCCATGCAGGTACAGTTTTGATTCTAGCAGCCTCAGGGACTAAAGCCCCATCTGGGTTTTGGAACTTGCCAATCCAGTCGGCGGGGGTGTGTGTGTGTCTGTCTGTCTGTCTGTCTGTCTGTGTGTCCTTGGGAAAACCAACTGAGATGATCATAAAGCACTCTGTCTTGAAAGCCACATTGCCAACAATGTTCACTTCACAGATGTTTGGTTGGGTTTTACTCAGCCCTTCTTATGGCCCTCCTCTACATCCCTACCCACCTGCCTGACCTCATCAAAATAATAAAAACAAAATCAAATCCCATTCTCAAGTAGACAGTTGCAAGAGCTGTAAGTACTTGGAGGAAGTGGCAAAGGTTCTTGAGACTTGCAAATGTAAGGGATCAGAAATAATTGTAAAGAATTAGTAAGTGATCATTGATATTTAAGAAACGGTGCGCTCTTGACGAGCGTGAGGGAGAAATACAATAAAAAGCCAAGAGGAATACAGAAGGTTCAGTCGAGAGGTGAAAGGCAGGTAAACAGCAGCAAAGAAAAATTAAAAGATGTCAGATAGAATGGAGGGAAATTCCAAAGTCTTCTGCAGGTATATAACTTGTCAAAGCGGTAAAAGAAGTGGGGCTAATTACAACTGGAAAGGAGACTTACACATGGAGACAGAGGGCAGGGCTGAGGTGTTCAATCAATACTTTGCACGTCTTTACTAAAGAGGAAGATGCTACACAAGTTATTGAATTGAATGATTTATTGTCACTTGCATTTTACAGTGAACAATAAAATACAGTGAAAACTTCAACTGGTGACAGAGGAGGAAACTCAGTAACAAGCAGGATTCAAAGCTGTCCGCACGTACAGACTGTTTACGCTGGAAAGAGTGCACACAGTCAAGACCAGTCTGTCGTCACACGCACGGTTTAGCAAATCCCACCCACCACCAGCCTGTGTCAAAGCAGGTCCTTCACTCCCTACGAGTACTGCCTGCTTAAAATCAAACACTACTGAAACGAAACTGCTTCGGGCCCACAACACAAGGAAAGAGCAGGAGTTACTCACAGCTCTTTGGAAGAATCAGAGGCACAATTAGTCACAGAGAAAAGGCCTTTCAGCCCATCGTATCCATGCTGGTTAAAAAAAAAACAACCAACTAGCTATTCAAATCGCAGCACTGGCCTCAGCCTCATGATGCCTTGGGTGAGGGGCCTCTTTCTGTGCAACGGACCTCGATGACTATTCCAGCTCATTTGGAACACAGAGCACAAGAGGAGGCCATTCAGCCTATCGTGGCCAACCCGAAAGGATTCAGGAACTGACCGCAGTCAGCATTCCTTCCTGGATAGTCTCCCTCAGCACAGTCTACATTACAAGGCACAGAGGTTTCCTACACCTTTCCCTCCATCACCAGAGGAAGCAGCAGCTCGGAGACAAGCAGCCAGCAGGCTTCACTGAAGCCAAAGAACACAAAAGGGGTAGAAGCGACCATTCAGCCCCTCTAACCAGTTCGATCATGGATGATGTGTCTCAACGTCATTACTCTGCCTTGGATACTTCCCAAAACATCCAATCAAACTCTATCAAGCATTTCCACAGACACCACCCCAACACAACCCACAGCTTCTCAGGGGCAGAAAATAGGCATTCTAGATTTCCATTACTCCTTTGTGATGAATTGCATTCTGCACCGTCTAACTCAAAAATCATTGTTACTCTTGCTTGTTCTGGATTACCTCCAGAGGAGACAGTCAGTCTGTACCTACCCAAATGAATCCTTCAACAGCTCGATCAGAACGGAGGGAAATACAACACCAGGTTCATATAATTTTCCACCCACACCATAAGATGTAGACCCATCCAGTCTGCTCTGCCATTCAATGAGATTGTGGTTGATCTGATAATCCTCAACTCCACTTTCCGGCCTTCCCCCGAAACCCCACCCCATAATCCTCAATTCCCTTCCTGATTAAAAAACCTGTCTCTCAGCCAGGACAGCCCTCTGTGGTGAAGAATTCCACAAATTCACCATCCTCTGAAGAAATTCCTCCTTATCTGTCACTTAAATGGGAGACCCTATATTGAGGGTATGCCTCTGGTTCTAGAGCCCCGGTATCATGAACGAGTGCAATGGAGCTCAGGTGAGGTAATGGCAAAGCTAGAGATACCTGCTCCCTAGGGGCAAAATTCCATTAGTTCTGCTGCAGTAGAACTGGAACAGTTACACTCTCAAAAGCCCACACCCAAACAGGTTAATGTATCTATACCTCTACCTCACATTGGTATCAACACTCTGCTGAACAGAGCTGGCAGACTGGCCTTCTACAAAGGCTCTCTGATGACTACAGTCCTTGTGCCCAGGCTAATGCCATGGGAACACAGGTTCAAATTCAGTTTATAAATCTGGAATTAAAAACTAGTCTCAGTGATGATGACCACGAAACCACTGATGGAGTACTCCCCACTTGCCTGGATGAGTGCAGCTCCAACAACACTCAAGAAGCTCAACACCATCCAGGACAAAGTCACCTACTTGACTGTATTTGGATGTGTTGCCATTCACCCCATCCACCACAAACCATCGCTGCCAGATATTCTGGTCAGTCTCTACCATCCACAAGATACACCAAGGCTCCTTACACAGCAGCTTCCAAATCCACAAACACTCTTAAATCTAAAAGTTCAATGCCAGCAGATACACGGGAACACCACCGCATGCACGTTCCCCTCCAAGCCACTCACCATCCCGAGTTGGAAATATATCACCGTTCCTCCAGTATCGCTGGGTCACAATCCTGAAATTCCCTCTCTAAAGGGCATTTGGGATCGTCTACAGCACATGGACCGCAGCGGTTCAAGCTGACCGCTCACCACCACCTTCTCAATTGCAACTAGGAAAGACAACAGATACAGGACCAGCCAGCAGCTTCCACATCCCATAAACTTAAAAAAAAGCCAAGGATTGAATCGGCATCACCTCATCTCTGCTGAATTAGCTCATTTTTTCCTGGGAAGCAATAAGCTGAGAGGAGAGGAAACTGTTCTCACTGATTAACACTACACTGTGCTAAAGTTAGTCTCATTTCCTCCCCTCTGCTGGATAGCCACAGCATCAGTTACTGTTTACGATTATAGAGGAACATTATAGAATGTTTAAAACTGATGTGGACATGGCTGTCTGGGCTAACACCGAGGACAATAACCCTCGAGGAGGGGGAGGAGGAGGAGGAGGAGGACAGTGAGCTGCTGCCTTGAAGAGAATTGCTCAGCAATTTCAGAGACAAGTTAAGAGTCAGCCACAATGCTGCAAGTATGGAATGACACAGATACCAGACCAGGTAAGGATGGCAGATTTCATTCCCCAGAACAGCAAGTTCTAGTCTCATTGTCGCCCTTAATCAGAGCACGTTTTCATTCCAGAATTAAGGAACTGAATGTATAATTCGCCCAGCTGCTATGGTAAGGTTCAAGCTTGTGATCTCTTGGTCATCGAGTCCTGGCCTCTGGATTATTAGAAACCTTACCACACTTTGCCGCTGTGCCCCTTGTAGTTGGGCAGACTGGTATCCCACAAAACTGGAACAATGTCATAGCGACATCTGTGCCCTCAGGGTGAGAAGGAGGTACAATGTTATGCTTAAACCTACTCATATACCCTTAGACAAACTGGGCAGTGGAAAATGGAATTCAATCTGGTTAAGTGAAAGGTGATGTACTTGGGCAGGACAAACAAGATAAGGGAATTAAAAACCAAAAGCACTGGAACAAAAACAGAAGTTGCTGGAAAAGCTCAGCAGGCCTGGCAACATTTGTGAAGAAAAATCAGAGTTAATGTTTCATGTCTGGTGACCCTTCCTCAAATGGATTTATACAATGATTGGTAGGACTTTGGGAAGCACTATGGGTCAGAAGGACCTTGGTGCAGATGTACACTAGTCCCTTAGGTACCAGGGCAGGTGGGTAAAATGGTTAAGGTGGTGTATTGAACCAAGGCAGAGAGTTTAAGAGCAGGGAGTTTATGCTGGAACTGTATAAAATGTTGGTTGACCACAGCTGGACCGCTGTGTGCGGTTCTAAAATACACATTACAGGAGGAAGAGGGTCAAGAGGAGATTCGCCAGGAGATTGCCTGGGCTGGAGAGTTTCAGTTATGAAGAGAGATTGGACAGACTGTGGTTGTTTTCCTTAAAGCACAGGCGACTGAGGGGAGGCATGGCTGAGATACATAAAATTGAGGGGCATAGATACGATAGATAGAAAGAAACATTTCACCCTGGAGGAATGAATGACCCAGAGGACAGCTTTAAGAAAAGGAGAAGTTGTAGGGGAGATGCCAGGAAAAGTATTTTGCACCCAGAGGGTGGTGGGAATCTGGAACTCTAAAAACATGGTACAGGCATAACATAGAAGCAGCACTTAAAACAAGCACTAGCCAAGACATACAAGGACTGGTGATGGAAAGTGGGATTAGAATAATTTGGTGGTTGCTAATGACCAGCATAGATAAGATGGGCCAAAGGGCCTTTTCCTGTGCTGTAGATCTCTATGACTATGTGAAGCTGCGATTTTGTTGAAGATGGTTATGTGGGTACAAGAGTTGCCTCAGCTCCCTTGTCAAAAATTCAACTCTGCCTTGAATAAATTTGAAGGCCCAATCTCCACTACTTCCGGAGGATCCATACACACTAACAGAGGAAAAATCTCTTTCCTCCTCCACCTTACGAACAGGACCTCTTGTCCTTAAGCTGTGGCCTCTATGTGTTAGTGCCCTCCACAAGGGGAGGTGTTACCAGGTACCAGTCCACCCTGCTCAACGTTCCCTTCACTGCAGGGATCAACCAAGCAAACTTTTGCTGAATTGCTGCTAATGCAATTAGATCACGTGCTGTCAAATACAGAGGCCAAAACACACCTGAATGCCAGGCATGGCCTCACACAACAGGCACTAAGTGCTAGCTGCAATAAGGTACAGGAGCTTTAAATCCCAGTAACCAATGGATCCCTGGACAGGCAGCAGCTGTAGTCCAGTAACTGACCTCAGTGCCTTTCCCAATCAATCACTGCCCTTCATTCATCCCCAAGGGAACATAATGGTAAGCTATTCAACCAGAAGTGAGAGCAGAGTGGTGGGGTTTTTAACAAATAAAATGGTTTAAATTGCTAACCAGTGACCCCTGCTGAGCTGTGATAGATACATCAGGTGAAGGCAGAGGAATCACCAGAGAGGCAAGCAGCCAGGGAAAGGTTCTCTAGGTCTCCATTCCCAGGAAAACTGAAAATCTCTTAAGCAATTCATGTCTTAAGTGGGTACGTGCTTAGAGTCTAGTTATGACAAAATCTAACTTTCTCACCTGTCAGGTGAAACCACGCCAAGTTGCATCAGACAGAGTGACACCATCTAAAAAGGTGAAGGAAGTTACTCTAACACAGGCTGAATCATACCAGGTGCCTGTCAGGCAATGGCTGTATTCACGTCTGGTAAAAGGCTCGGGATTGGACAGGCAGTAACCCAGCACTGGGTGTCTCGCTAAAGAATGACATGCAGACTTGGGAACCTTCCCCCTCCCACCCCTCCACCCCACAACCCCACCCCATACCCAGCTCTGAACTGCCGATCACAGAGGAAAAATTGTGCTACCCATTTGAGAAAAATTGACTGAGATACACGAGGGAATCAAACAGGCAGGGACAGAGGAGAGCACTAGGACAGAGTGGGGTGAGCTAGACAGAACTGGCAGGGACTAGAGCGGTTTGGTCCTGTGAGGCGTAGCAACTGTGCAAGAAAGCACTTCTTGTAGCATTAACACAATCGATGCCAGTCGACAAATGCGGAGAAATGATCACAGAATCAGAAGTATAGGGCAACGGTAAACTATTTACGATTTGACACTACCAACTGCAACAGAATGGTTTTTTAAAAAGTTGCCTTAAGTGTTGTAGATAGGAAGAATGTGATTCCACTAACATGTTACCAAAAAGGAGAGCAATTTAAGGTGATCTGCAAAGGAATGCAGCAGCACAGTGGCTCAGTGGTTAGCACTGGTGTCTCACAGCACCAGGGACCCAGGACTGATTCCAGCCTTGGGTGAAAGTGTGTGTGGAGTTTGCACGTTCTCCCCACGTCTGCAAGGGTTTCCTCCCACAGTCCAATGATGTGCCGGTTACATCGGTTGGCCATACTAAATTACCCATAGTATCCAGGGATGTGCAAGCGAGGTGGATTAGCCATCAGGAATGCAGGGTTGTGGAGACTGGGATATTCTTCAGAGGGTCAGTGTGGACTCGATGGGCTGAATGGCCTGCTTCCACACTAAGGATTTTATGAATAAAAAGGAACTGGATGCAACACGAGGGCAGCCTTTACATAGCGAGGGGAATGAATTAAGTTCCAATCACAGCTTCTATAGGGCAAATGGCCATCATCAGAAAGCAACAGTTTAAAAAAAAGAATCTTGCAAGGTGGGCAGAGGGCACTAAACCCAGCAGCTGCTGCAGAGGGCTTGATACCAAGGGCTGAATGGCCTCCACCTACACTGGTGAATTTTCTGAAAATGCAGACAGCTGAATGAGAGCATGCCGAGAGCTCAGTGCCATGAGGAGAGTTTGCAAGTGAAAGCTGCAGACAGTCCAGGGAGAAGTGGATCGAAAGAGGGCCAAAGTGGAATGAGTGTTGGAGCTGATCCTTCAACCCACTTACAGCAGCAAACAGGGCGCAGGCGCAGCACCGAGCAGAGCTACAGACAAAAAAAAAGAGCCAAAAAAAATCTGGATGAGAAAAAAAATCGCTCAAAATGAAAAAAAAATGGACAAAAACTAAAAATCGACGGAACGAGTCACCTTTCATTTCTTCTGCACCTTACTTAACCTGATCGGAATATTTAACCAGCATCACGTTCACAAACCTAAGGGAATAAATAACCTGTGTAAAACCGTTTATCTTTTTGGGGAGCGGGGGTAAAGGAGAAAGAAATGGGTCTTGGGTTTTATTTCCATCTAGATGTCTATTTTTAAAGAAACGTTAAATAAAAATATCAACACTCCATGCACAGTGAAGGGAGCAGCGATAGTCAAAACAAAAAAGGAAAAAAAATCTTTGAAAAATGCGATTAAAATTGATATTAAATTCTGGGTGGAAGAAGAAAAGGACGGGGGGGGGGGGGGAAGGAACTTCACTTTTTTAAAAAAAGAGGTGGGTTTGCAGAGTAGAAATGTGCAGGAGGTTGCTAGAAGCAGCTGCCCTGTAAAATGTGAAGAGAGAATACTGTACGCGTGGCAGTGTTTATATCCGACCTAAACACAGGCAAGCCCAAATGAGGGAAAATGGCGACTGGGAAAGATTAAAGAGCCAAATATATAATTTAAAAAACAGCGATGCCCCCACCTCCCCCTCCACCAGCCCTCCCCGGGCCTCTCCTTGTACCTGTTATTTGGTGTTTTCCTCGTCTTGCCTTTCTTCCTGTTGAATTCGACGTTGCAGGGCAAAATTGACGCGTAGCCGTGTTCTGCCTCTGAAAGCCAAATAAAAATATTTTTTTAAACAGAAACATAACGACAAGTACAGAGCTGCACCAGGAGAGATTCGACACTGCAACTGGTGCGAGGCAAACAAAACCCTGCAATCGTACCTCTCTCTCTTCTCTCGATGTACTCGGCTGCTTCCAGCAAAGTTTGAATATTAAAAAATGCCATTTCTCCCCAGATAAAGTGATGGTGTGTGAATTTTTTTTTATATTTAAAAAAAGAAACAGTTTGTGCGTCTATTTCCTACCTAGTAATAACAACTACAACAAAATGGCCTGTCCGAGAATTACAGGTGGAAAATAAAATTTGCAAAAAATATCTAGACACTTTTTTTTTAAAAAGTGAGTTAAAACGAGAGGCAAAGACAACTGAGTCTGAGAGACAAGTTTTTGCAAACCCTCTGTCACCTCAACCTAGCCTGCTAAGCAGCCCAGATGTATTGTGACGCGATTTGATTGACAGATCAGGCTCTAAGTCCCGTTCTCTCCAATAGGGAGCTCCCAGGACGAGAAACAACAATCAGGGTAGGTTTCGCCTCTCCCCCCCCCCCCCCCCCGAGCGCACGCGCATACGCCCAGACACAGACACAGATGTATCAACAAGTCGCCGTCCGCCCGCAGCTCATTGGCTCCCGTTCGCGTGTATCCGATCGCTGTATCCACCCGCGGGCCCTAGCAACAGAGGCCGCGTGACCCAGCGGACTGCGCTTCCATTGGCGGACGCCGCCGTATGCAAAGCGACACCTTCTCCTTGTCATTGGGCGACCGGGTCGCGTATCATAATAAGATGGGCGTGGCCAGTCCGCGCGTCTTGATAAGTTGGGCGGGGACAGCACCAGTCCTCCCTTGAGTCCTGAGGGAGCTGTTGGTGCTGAGCAGTGGGTGGCAGGTTGTGGGTAGGCTCTGCTTGCCGGAAATGGTCTTTATTTTGCTGCGGGACTAATGTAACTAAGTTGACTGGTTTTTGATTTCTTTTTTTCATGCCTGCTGCAATGCACAGAAACCTGATAAGGTGAATATTGCCATTTTGTAAGAAGTGCCTAGTTAATTATGTAAACAGCTGGAATATCTGACCATTGAAAGCAGCAGTAGGCCATTTGGCCCTTCCAGCCTCATGTGCCATTCAATATGATTGTTGGCTTATCCAACTCAGTCCCCTGTTCCTACCTTCTCCCCTCACACTTTGATCTCTTTCACCTTTAAGAGCTATATCTATTAGCTTCTTGAACATTTAATGTTTTAGCATCAACTGCTTTCTGCAACAGAAAATTTCACAGGCTCACCACTCTCTGGGTGAAGAAGCTTCTCCTTATCTCAGTGTGGAATAGCCTACCCTGAATCTCTAGTCTGCGACTCCTGGTTCTGGACTCTATGGTCATCAGGAATATCAATCCTGTATTTACCTTGTCAGACCCTGTTAGAGTGTTACAGGTTTCTATTAGATTCCCCCTCAGACTTCAAAGCTCTGGTGAATATTGTCTTAACCAATCCAGTCTCCATTCATATGTCAGTCTTGCAATCCCAGGAATCAGTCTGGTTAAATTGCTGTTGTACTCAGTCCACAGCCAGACCATCCTTCCTCATTATAAGGATGCCAAAACTGTACACAGTATAGTCTCCCCAATACCCTGTACAACTGCAGCAAGACATTCCTGCTCCTGTACTTGAATCCTGTCACTATGAAGGCCAATGTGCCATTTGCCTTCTTCACCACCTGCTGTACTTTACTTTTAGTGACTGCTGTGCAAGGTCACCCAGGTCTCATTGCACCTCCACCTTTCCCAATCCATTGCTATTCAGATAATAATCTGCCTGTTTTTGCTACCAAAGTGAATCCCCTCACATTTATTCACATTATATGTCATCTGCCATGCCTTCACCCACTAACTGAATTTATCCAAATCACCCTGAAGCATCTCTGCATCTTCCTCACAGCTCACTCTCCCATCCAGCTTTGCAAACCTCAGCTGCTGCAACCTCATGCTTCATGTTTCATGAAAGGTTGCCCAATGCAATATTACCCGTTTCGTCTGTGGTTTCAAACGTGAGCTGGCATTTAAATATCACACCAACATGTCCCAAAAAAAGGTTACAATCAATCTAGAAGCACAAGAGCAGCAGATACATGAGAGCACAACCACTTGCAAGATTCCCCTCCAAGCCACTCACCAGCCTGACTTGGAAAATTATCACCATGTGTGTATATATCACTGGTGAATTTCTGCAGAATATCTTATAGATAGTACACACTGCTGCTACTGAGTGTTGGTGGTGGAGGGAGTGGATGCTTGTGGATGTGGTGCCAATCAAGCAGGCTGCTTTGTCCTGGGTGGTGCCAAGCTTCTTGAGTGTTGTTGGGGCTGCACTCATCCAGGCAAGTGGGGAGTATTCCATCACACTCCTGACTTGTGCCTTGTCAATGGTGGACAGGCTTTGGTGAGTCAGGAGGTGAATTACATGCAGCAGTATTCCTAGCCTCTGACCTGGTCTTGTAGCCACTGTGTTTACATAGCTCATCCAGTTTGGTTTCTGCTAAAATGGTAACCCCGAAGATGTTGATAGCAGTGGATTCAGTAATGGTAACATTATTAAATGTCAAGATGATTAGATTGCGTCTTATTGGAGATGGTGATAGCCTGGCATTTGTTGGTGTGAATGTTACTTGCCACTTTTCAGCCCATTCCTGGATGTTGTCCAGATCTTGTTGCATGTGAACATGGACTGCTTCAGTATCTGAGGAGTCACAAATGGTGCTGAATGTTATGAAATCATCAGCAAACATCCCCACTTCTGACCTTATGATGGAGGGAAGGTCATTGATGAAGCAGCTGAAGATGGTTGAGGAACTGCTACAAAGATGTCTGGAGCTAAGATGGACCGACCTCCACCAACCATGACCATCTTCCTATGGGCCAGGTATCACTCTAACCTGTGGAAAGTTTGCCCCCTGATTCCTATTGATCCCAGTTTTGCTGTAACTACTTGATGCCACACCTAGTCTAATGTGGCCTTGATGTCAATGGCAGGTTTAAACAAATGCTGTAATGAATGACTGTAGCAGAACCCAAGCTCGGCATCACTAAGCAGGTTATTGCTGAGCAGATGCTGTGTGATAGCACTGTTAATGACATCTTCCATCACTTTACTGATGATCAAGAGTAGACTGATGGGCTGGTGATTGGCCAGGATGAATTTGTCCTCCTTTCTGTGCACAGGACATACTTGGGCAATTTTCCACCAAACCCAGGTTGGTAATGTCTCCCAGGTTGTCTATTTTGGTGACTGAGCTCCCCATCGGAGAGCATGCGGCCAGTGTTAGAGCTGTCAATCAAACAGCATTGAGCTGCTCAACAGGCTAGGTTGAGGTAACATTCAGTGCTAGCCACTGCAACACATCTACTCGCGTTCTCAGGCCAAATGCAAGGCCAAAACACAGCACCAGAACTTTCACCATGGGTAGGGCAACGAGGCTGGTGCCAAACCCATGCCCTTCCAGAACAGAGATTAAACTTCATGCTGTTAGTGCCAGACTTATCCACTCCCAATATTTGGCCAAGTGACTGCCATCTTGCTGTGGAAAAATACACTTTTACATGCATGTTCCCAACAGGAATTCTAAATAATAACAGTAGAAGCTACAATTTTATTTCCTCCCCTGTGTAATAGGTGATTTAATTGGATTAATGATCTTTTTGAATGGCAGTTGAGTGGCTTACTCCTGCTCCTAATTTGTATGTTCCTCTGTATCTACCACTCTCTCCATCTGCTGTTGTAAAGATTTGGTCATCAGGTCCTAGAATGGGTCTTGTTGCCCAGAACCTCCGGCTCAGGAGCAGGGGCATGACCCATTGGTCACAAGATCTCTTAGAGCACAGCTAACTCTGTAATTAACTTAAACATGTCTACCTTTAACAGTCTCTGGACAGGTTATTGGAATTTAAAAAATTCTTTTTTTTATTCACTCATGGGATGTGGGTAGCACTGGCCATCCCAGCATTTATTGCCCATTCCTTGTTGCCTTTGAGAAGGTGGTGGTGAGCTGCCTTCTTGAATCGATGCAGTCCGCCTGCTGTTGTGTTGATCCACAATGTCCTCAGGGAGGGAATTTCAGGATTTTGACCCAGCGACAGTGAAGGAACAGCGATATATTTCCAAGTCAGGATAGTGAGGGGAAATTGGAGGGGGTAATGTTCCCATGTATTTGCTGCCCTTTGGAAGGCACTGTCTGAGGATCTTTGGTGAATTTCTGCAGTTCATCTTGTAGATAGTACACACTCCTGCTACTGAGCGTCGGTGGTGGAGGGAGTGAATGTTTGTGGATGTGGTGCCAATCAAGCGGGCTGCTTTATCCTGATGGTGACAAGCTTCTTGTGTTCTCGGGGCTGCACCCATCCAGGCAAGTGGGGAGTATTCCATCACACTCCTGACTTGTGCCTTGTCGATGGTGGACAGGCTTTGGTGAGTCAGGAGGTGAGTTTCGCTGCAATTTATTATTCACAGCTTGTACTGGTGCCTTGCCTATTTTAAAATTCTGTTGGTGCGTACTAGCCGAGTCTGAATTGCTGAATTATAATTTGATCAGTTTATTAGTGATTGGGACCTAGTAAGAATTAATTACTTTTAATTTACCCTTGCTATTTCTCTACCAGGTTTGTGAAATATTGACAACATACTCATAGACGACCATACAGTGTTTTTTATTAAGGTATGATTATACGTCGAGAAAAATATACCAATGCAGCTGGTAATGCAACTGCATCATTGGCAATTCTCCCAGGAGGTCATTGCTTAATTAAAGTGAGCATTAAAAAAGTTTTAGATATTTAAAAAGATGGGTTTAAAAAAAAAGCCATCATAAAATTTTGCAATGTAGCACATCAATATCTGCATAACAATGTTCACAGAATCAGCCACAATGAATTACATTGATGGGGTGTTTCATTCCTGGCAAAGTTGAAGTCCATTGCAACTTCCCCAGCCAACACTCACTCACTCAATTGGAAAGTTTCCTGCACAATGTGTGCTCTTTGACCACAACATAAACAGCTGATCTGGTTATTACCATGTGTTCATTTTGTGGGATCTTGCTGCACATAACCTGTCAGTTGTGTTTCCTACAGCGAGGCAATGATGACTAAACACGAAAAATACATAATTGACGATAAAGCACTTTGAGACTTCCTGTGGTTGTTTGAAGGGCATTATATAAATCCAAGGCTATCTGTCTGTCTGCCTTTCATCAACAACAACTTGCATTTAGGTGTCTTTCAGGTATGAAATATCACAAGGCCCTGCACTGGACCACTATCATAACAAGTTTGACACCAAGCCATATAAGGATATATTTTGATCAGGTGACAAAAATGTTGATTAAAGCGATATCTTTAAAAAAAGGAAATGAGGTCAAGGTCAAGAGGAGCCAAACTTTATGAAAGGAATTCCAGAGCATTGGT